AACTTCTTCTTCAGTTTGGACAGCACCTTTATGATCTAAATGGTTCAAGAAAGAACAGACATGACTACATAAGGCAAAGGCTTAGGGAACTTGGGCGACTGCTGCTTATAGCTCAGAAGAATACCCCCATTCAAAAGGCAGAGGAACTGATTTATCCTGCAAACTTCAACCATTTGATATCTGCAGTGAAAGAGGTGGCTGGGTACAATCCTGAAAGAAATACGTTCCAGAAACCTACCTTAGCTCTAAAAATTGGCAACAATCTGGGAATTATCTGTGAGCTTGTAGAGACTGACAATTTGTCCTCAGAAGACGGAGACTCAAGCCTTGTGCAATTTGCCAGAGAATTTAAGGCTATCAAAAATTTTAGATGGAAGGGACTGATCACCAGAGGTGCAACAACAACCATGAAGGAGTCTAAGTGGAATGCACCACAGATTTTACCTTTAACAGCTGATGTCAAATGCTTGGATCGCCATATGGAGACTGTTAAAAGCGGTGCTGAAAGAATGCTGAGGTTGACTCCAACTCCATACAGCTATGCAATGCTTGCCAAAGTGACACTAGCTCAAGTGATCATTTTTAACAGAAGAAGAGAAGGAGAGGTATCAAGAATGGAGGTGTCCACCTTTAAAGACAGAAAAAAGTCCGAAATCAATATGGACATGGCTGCTTGTCTGACCTCACTTGAGAAAAAAATGTGTGATTTCTTCACCAGAGTAGAAATCCGTGGAAAACGAGGGAGAGGAGTTCCTATTCTCCTAAAACCATCAATGGTCTCTGCAATGGAGCTCCTTGTGGAAACTCGTGAATCTTGCGGCGTCCCCAAAGAGAACATTTACATGTTTGCTAGACCAGGAGCTTTATCTGCCTATCGAGGAAGAGACTGTATCCAAATGTTTGCAAAGGAGAGTGGAGCAAAACACCCTGAAATCTTAACATCAACAAGGCTCCGAAAACATATCGCAACAATGTCGCAGGTGCTTAATCTTCAAGAAAATGAAGCAGATCAACTAGCAGACTTTCTGGGTCATGACATACGTGTGCACAGGCAGTATTACCGCTTGCCTCAAGGAACACTTCAGCTTGCTAAGATGAGCAAATTACTTTTGGCACTGGAGAACGGAACTGTTTCACATTATAAAGGCCAAACACTTGATGATATTGAAATTGACCCCGAAGGTAAGAGTGTAAATTTTATTAGGATGCTCTAAAATATAATAATTGATTTTTTTTTTAATTCTTAAATGCTCTGGAAACCTTTAGAAAAAATTGATCTGGAAAATTCAGATAACTCAAGCGATGAGAGTGAGCCTCTTCAATCGGCTCTGGAGGCAATAAAAACACCAGAGAATGAGACAACGGATCAGGATGGAGACAGAGGGCCATGGACTTCTTCATCTCCAGGGACGTCTTCATCTCCAAGGACTTCTTTCAGTCCTTCCTTGAAAAAGGGTACTGACCAATTTGTTTTGGCATAAACATAAACTTTATACATTGGCACAGAAAAATAAATATGGTTCAGTGAATTAATGAAGTGAAAAGGTGATAAATAAATGACGGTCACGATCATCAACTCGGCGAACAAATAATTTAGAATTCATCCAATATGCACAATTTTGCTTTTACTTTGAACAGGGTTGTGCCTACCTTTAAATCTTTTTAGACCGGTCTGTTGTCTGCCTCATATCAGATCGTACCTTAAGGTCCAAATTAGACCTCTCAGCCGCAAAAGAATCCAGGTCACGGCACCAATTATTAAATTCATTTCTTTGTATTCTTTTAACAGCGAAGAAAGACACGGCTCAAAGTGGTCTAACTCAAAAAATGATCTTTAATTTTACATTTTCCGGAAAATGGAGACTGAGCACACAGACATCAGCTCAAGTCTGAAGCAGCAGCAGGCAGTCTGGTTATTTATATACTTCCTCTAGACGTCACGCACACTTTAAGTTTCGATCAAACACTCTACTTAGTTTCACTTTCTGCCTGCAGCTCATATTCTTTGCAAAAGCATGCAGTTTCCTATCAGCCTGCGACCTAGTTTACACTCAACGCTGGCCATCTCTTATACGTAAAAGAATATAATCAGCAAATAAGCACTAAGAATATATATATTAAATACATGACATTATTCATTGAGTAGAGGAGGAAAACATTTGATATTGAAAAAGTTTTAAGCAGTGTATTGATGTCTGTTTTCTTTTCTTCAAAGGCAACCGAAGTAACGCCAAATGTAAGTGGGAAGATCATGAGGTACGTGCAGTTGAAAAACACATGATGCGTTTCATCAACACATGCAAGTTGCCTCAGAAGCTGGACTGCACTCAATGCATCAATGCAGAACCATATGCACTGAAAGACAGAAACTGGACTGGGGTAAAAAATTATGTTAGAAATCGCATTACTGCCTTAAAAAGAAAAGCTTGTGCAAAGGACTGAGGGCTGTTTGTGATTTCACTGAGTTAAAATTTCCTGTTTCTCTGGTAAAATGGTTCTGAAGATGTTTTGAAGACGTTGCACTCCAAAAATTTCAGGTTCAGTAAGCAGGTGTAAGTTTGTTTCCTAAAACCTTTTGTCATTCTGAGAGGAAAAAACAAATCTTTTCAAGTTGACATTTTTTTCTTAACATGGTTTTCATTGTGTCCACTTCGCACTGCATGAGATATATTTGGAATCAAAGTTTTTTACATTTGCAGGTAGAAGCACTTAATGAATTGTGCAGATATTTTGTTGTTTCTTTGTTGCTGCAAGTTCCTGTGTATACATGAAGTGCATGTAAAGTGCTAAAAACAACACTGTAGAAATAAAAGAAGCAGAATATTTAAATGTTTCTGTGGCACAATAAGTTGTGATTTCTTTCATAATAAGTAATGACCTGACTTTGAAGTTCTGGCAAATCCATTGGATTCTGTCAAGTTAGCAGACCTAATTGCAATGAATATTGTTAGGTTGGGTAGAAAAAGATGGCTTTTAACATTGTGACACTGAGCAGCAGCAGCATCCTAAAACATTTCTAGATGGTTAAATCATAACATTACCTTGTACTTACTTTGATGAAGTAATATCCCCAAAACTGAAGTTATGTGTGTATTACTGAAGACCCCAAATGGAAGTAACGACCCCAAAAGTGGTATAACATAGTTTGTGTATGTGTGTATTGCTGAAGACCCCAAAAGGAAGTATGGTCCCCAAAACTGACATAAAACAACTTGTGTATGTGTGTATTGTTGAAGACCCCAAATGGAAGTAAGGTCCCCAAAAGTGGCATAAAATAGTTTGTGTATGTGTGTGTCGCCGAAGACCCCAAATGGAAGTAAGGTCCCCAAAAGTGGCATAAAATAGTTTGTGTATGTGTGTGTCGCTGAAGACCCCAAATGGAAGTAAGGTCCCCAAAAGTGGCATAAAATAGTTGGTTTATCTGTGTATCGCTGAAGACCCCAAAGAGGACATTAAACATTCCCAGTCCCCAATGGGAAGGTAAAAATACTGTCTGGACAAATGTTGCTTAAAATGAAAATCTCAAGTGATTTTTTATTTCTGTGGTCTTGGAGGAGTAAAACTGAGTTGCCAGCTTGCTTCTAAACCATACAGAAAGTGGTGTCCCCAAAGGGTGGGAGTTAAGATATGCGACCCCAAACGGGACTTAAGCGAGTATGTGTGTGTGTGTGTGTGTGTGTGTGTGATTATATTGTATGATATTTTAATCGTGCTCTGTTACAATGTTACTGTTTTGGTTGTGCTGCATGAAAGAGGTTGAGTGTGTATTAGGGAAGGTTAGTTACCGGAGCTGGAGATGAGTTATTCAGGCAAACTTTCGACAGCATTAACTGCCCTGTTAATGTAAAACCTTAATAAACCACAGTAAAGCAAAATGTCTTGTGCTTAATAAGACTCTTTTTTTTTGTCCCGTTTGGATCTTTAGCCATCAGAATTGTTGTCTTAAGGCCAAGAAAGATGCCAAGCGGATTTATTTTACCAAGTGGATCATCATGGCCTTGCCATATTGGTCCATTTGATTGACCTTTATTATAATTATGATTTATTTTATTTTCGAGTTGCTACAAACGGGACAGACATGACTGGGGGATAGGACAGGGAGAAAGAATGAAAGAAAGAGAGGGAGAGAAAGAAAAACCAGAGGGGAGAAGAGACGGTGAGAAGGGGGGAAAGAAAGAAAAACAAACAAAACACCTGGATCACCTGTATGGAGAAAAAAAACAGAAGAGAAAACAAACAAAAACAAAAAATGATAAATACAGCACCATCACAATAAACTAGCTAGCAGTAGATAACAGTAGATACTAAATATTAAACGCTATTGTGCAGCACGCAAGATAGACAGCGCACAATGTGCTTAGAGGCAGCAGCCAAGAAAGCTGTAGTCCGCTCATATGTAGTGTTGCTGTGTGCTGTTCTAAAGTGCATTTAAAACACAGGAGAGCATGGTCCTGCTTCCTATCAGAGAGCAGCACGGCTCCTCCCGAAAACCCTGTGCTTAAGACTAAGCACAGGGTTAGTCTGTGACTTAAAAGACTATACCTTAAGACTAAAAAGCACAGTTACAGTGAAAGTTACAGTGAAAATGAGAGTATATATGTTCAGTGCAGATAGGCATATAGTGTATATAGTTAGATAGTTATACATATCATACAAAAATCCACCACAAACTATTAACTATTTTTCTCTCTCACTCCCTTTCCTCTTCATCCACTTGCTCTCTCAACCAAACCTGTTTTATTCTCTCTTCATTCATTTTCCTCAGTGAGGAAATGAAAGATGATATCTTCTAGAAGTATTGAACAGACTGTTAGTGAACACAGGCTTGTAATTGTTACTTTTTATTGGCATTAATCACAACAGAGAACAGAGTAAACTTCAGACTAGTTGCGATCAGGTTCTAAACCTGCAACATAAAGTAGAGACCAACACAGCAGTTTACAACAATAAGAGTTTCAGTTCAAGAAAATAACTGAAGATAAAATCTTGGGGATGAAGCACCAAACAGACTTGAACTGCCTTTAGTGACTTTTTACTTGATACATGATCTGAAATATTGATTTGAAATCTCAAACATGATTTCACATCGTCATCGACTTGTCTGAACTTTTCTCAGCTGACCTGATCCAAAGCACTGAAAACATCATAAGTTCATAAATTCAAACAATGTTTTGGAGTATAACTAACAAAATAGTAAGAGTGCTTTAAAAAAGTGCTGAACTTTTTAGCTCACAATGTCACACAACATCACTGGTCAAAATGATTTATTCTTATGATCCTAAACAGAACAAGCAGAGATAAAAAAAAAAAGACAAATGGATACACCAGTACGAAAAGTCAATAAGAAATTCAACATCAATATTTAACCAGTTCATTTAAACACTTCATTCTGCCCAGACTGAAGGGGACACTTATTTCCTGTCTGCTAATTTTCACCAGTCCAGCTGAGGGAGACATTGTTGAACAATATGACTGAGGACACATCATCACTGTAACATCAGCACATTCAGACTGTTTTAAAGCTTGTTTTTCCTGAAGAAACATGCACACCATCTTTCAAGTATTATGGCGTCGGAAAAGATCACAAAATCTTGAGATGCTCCAAAAAGATGCAGACAAAAACACAACAATGTTTGTCATATTCTCTAAGGTCTCCCAGGCTTGAAATGGATTCT